CATAACCCGGTTGGGATAGTGTGGCTTCAATGCGAGGCGGTCTCTGCAAACAAAAGGACAACGCTGTCTCGCCATTCAGCAACAGCTTATTTTAAATCTTGTTTTTTCTGTCGGGCCCTCCATTCTCTCTAGAAGAGTTTCTCTAAACTTCACTTTTGTGCTTTCTCCCTCCAAGGCGATCGTCCATTATCATGCTTGCTGGGATCTGGCTAAAATCTGTTAAAATCTTAAAATACAGCGTTATTAGAACTAAGGCTTGTTGCTCAGATATGCCGGCTTTCTTAGTCTTGCTGTATGCATGATGGACCAGGCACCCAATAACTCTATGTAACCATATCTGCGGGGGGTTGGATGGAGGTCGGCAGCCTAGACGCCAAAAATCTAAATATCACTGTACTGCTTAATAAACATTCCAAACGTGAAGTTTGGCGCCTGGACTGAACTGAGCGAAGCCTGCGAGCTAGTTCAGGCAGGCAACTCGGGAGCTGCGCTGATTACACACATGACATGGGCCTTATTCCATAAATCACTAACAAGCGCCACCCCTTCCAATCTGGCGGGTCCTATTTAAACTGCACAATTTCCCAGCTCTCCCTCTGCTCTGTTCAATGCCGCTGGTGCCCCTGCATCCGTATTTTTGATGCCTTGCCGCTTGCTGCCTCTGTAAGCTTATTGCTGGCCCTGGCTGCGCTGGTAGCACCACCACCCCAGCATCCCACCTGAGGCTCCGACTTGTTGGCGGTTAAGGTATTTGCGATCACTTCCCCAATATCTCTATGGTGAAACATAATCTGCGGGAGCTGATGGACGCGTCGGCAGCCTAGACGCCCAAAATATACTGTACTGCTTAATAAACATTCCAAACGTGAGTTGGCTGACTGAACTTGGTGTTCTCGTGGCTCAGCTGTTAAAGCTGGTACCCCATGTACCAAGGCTGAGTCCTTGATGCAGCGGCCATGAGTTTGATTCCGACCTGTGGCCCTTTGCTGTGTGTCACCCCCTCTCACTCCCCCTCTGTCCTGACGTTCTTCAGCTGAACTGTCTAATAGAGGCAGAAAAAGCTCCAGGAAAATATTGAACCGTTACATAATAAGTATTTAAAATAACGCAGGAACAAACAACCCCATAGTGTGTTACTACCCGCAGGATGTGGATAGTTGTCACAAGTGCACAAGATGTAAGCATATGACCTTCCATATCTTTTGAACAGAATAAGCTTAAGGAAAAGGTCACTCCATTCTTGACACTTTCGGCTTCCATCAAGGGAATCTATTCAGAATACAGTTTTATAATGTATACTGCTTTTCAGCTGGATAAATAATTATGTAATTACTTTTTGTGGAATGACAATACCACAGGGATGCGGCAGAGGAGCAGTGCGAGACCTGCGCCAAGCTAACTACACGTACCGGAAACAGTTTGGATTTTCCTTCAACATAAAAGCAGCATTTACATGGTTAAACGGCGACATATAGAGTGGACAGAACTCAGATGTCACAATGGAAAACATAATCGTATAATGATGCATTATGTTTTCTTTCTGTCACTTCAGTTGTCGTATGCGCTTGTCTTGTTCATCCTACAATTGAACTTTGGCATACGGCGCGGTCTTACTTTAAAAGGCTGAACAGGAAGTTCTTTTTATTTGCGTAATTTATGCTTTTACTGCAGCTGGTCTGACCGCACTCTGTCACAGATAACCGGGATTTCACTTTCCACCCCCGTCGGTTACGGTCACTAGTTAACAGAGTGAAGGCTGGGCGCTGGAGGACGGCTCGTTAATCTCCCAGAAGCGCGAGCCCTGTCGGTAACGGAGGCGAGAGCCGGAGAATGAGAGCGCGAGCACTGCAGTAATGATGCGTTTTATCCTGGACTGCCTGAGGACACCGCGAGCGACAAACCCGAAGGATGAAGGGTAAAATTACCGTTAAAGCTCTTCCGGGAAGAGTGAGTGTTTTACACTCGCACGAGTCCTATTGTTTTATTATTTTAAAGGGAGTTTAAACTTTAAACTAACTAAATCGTAAATGGAGGCTACTCGTTAAACTTAGAACACCCATAATTCAGGTTTAGGCTTTAAGTGAAAACAGTATAGGCTACAGCAGCTCAGGGCCTGTCCCAGGTTTCTGAGAGGTTTAGCAGACGAGCTAAATGAACCTAACGTTCATTAGTATGGGATGTGCCAATGTAACATCATTTAGCCTACAGCGGCTCCCAGTCACGGGTATATGTCAGCCATGACTCCATAGGATACCTCTGCAGTTACCGGGGTGAAAGATTGTGGACTAACATGAAGGAAGAGGTACAGTTTCATCAAAAGATATATTGAATTCACCTGGACGGCAGGTGTTAAGTAGGCTACATGAAGAGTTTGTATACGAGCTTAAGTCTAATAGCCAAAAGTAATGGATAAATTGTCGATACAATGAGTTGAAAATGTGTACATGGTTAAACAAATCATCTACAAATAGATGGTCAAGATAGAAAAAAAGTAACAGTTAAATTTTTATCAAATTAAATGCATAAATAAATGAAAAAGAGCATCTAAATATCAATATATGATCGAAGTCGAAAAAAGTAACAATTAAAATGTCGGAATGGTTAGCTAAAATGTCTAAATGATTGAATAAATCATCTAAAAATGGATGAATGGTCCAAGTATAAAAAAGTAACAGATGAATAGTCGGAAAAATGAGTTAAAAATAATTGAGAAAAATCATAAAAGTGAAGAAATGATCAAAATAGCAAAAAGTAACAGATACATAGTTGAAAAGGTTAGCTAAAAATGTATACATTTTTGAAAAAATCCTTTCTGAAAAAAGATTGGGAACCACGGAGCCTACCTACCATGGAGGTTAGGTACACTTACTTACTAGTGTATCTGAATTTGTCACATGCTTTTCTCTCTTTACCTGAGTATCATATTCTATGACTCCACAATATTTCAGAGGGAGCTGTTGTACTTTTTAGTCTACAGTTCACTAGTTAGTTTGCAAATCCAAAACATACAACAACAGTATTTATTAACATCACTTACTATATAATAATAATATATAAAATATAAGCCTAGATATTTCCCAAAAGGCTTAAGATTCTGAGGCATTTTAGGTATTATTTTATATATTAATCACTTTTTAACAGCTTGTAACGCAACTTTAAATTGAAAAAAAAGGGAGACCACCCTCGACTTTCCTGGTTGCCTGGGGACTGATTTGTTGTATGTAGGGATGCAGGTTGTAAAGGATGTAATGTTTATGCATGCTCTGCTTCCCTACAGTGTCACCAGTGTGTGACAGGCAATGTTAGCTTATGTCCAATAATAGTCCATCACATAGTTCAAAGTCAAAGCTAACATTAGTGTCAATTGTGGAATATATTGTAATATTGTGGTTTTAGTTGGCTGAATTGCGCTAGCTAATGTGGCAAAAAGCTGTCAGCTAGCTTCATTGAGACTCACAGGGCTAATCTGGCTGGTAAATTTACTGGCTCGTCATTTGCCGGTTGTTTTATCGGTAGGCTGTTCATGACAGCCAGTGGCAAATAATGTTACTCAGCGTGGCTGGGTTACAGCTGGTTGGCTACCCTTAGCTCGCGTGCACATTAACATTATCACTAGGAAAATACTATCTGAGTGAGTATGTTAGTTGGCTAACGTTAGCTTGCAAAACTCACTTTGGCCAAAGCTTGCGGAATGTGTATGGAGTGTGATGGTGACTGCATTATTCTTTCTTTAAAGCAAGATTGAATAATAGTGTGTAAGAGAAGTTTAAAAATATTTTGATAAAGATGGATGACTTGATCAGTGTTTTTTTGTTGTTGACTGTTAATGGAAACACTTAACATATTAATAGACCAGATCAAATATATTCTGCTATGGCCAATGAATAATTTAATGTTGTGTCAGAAAGAATCTTCCAGTGCTTCCGATGCTTAAACTGCTCAAGCAATATAGCAATACAAGTTAGCTTGAAGGTCAGCAGTGGCAGTAGCAGCAGACCTATGCTGAGTTAACTGAAGTACACAAAGGAACAACTCAAAGGAACAAAATGGACATGCTTATCAGGGCTGTCGCAATAATGAAACACAGTACTATTGACAAGACAAGGGCAACCGCACATGACGTCACATCGCAACATAAATGTTCAGTCTTTGTTTTTAAGACAAGAAAGCGTTCCAGAGCTTCCGTCTGACATGCAGTGCTCTCCTCTCAGTTCACAGCCCAGGATTACAACAGCACACAGGAGAAAGTCACCTCCGCCTCACTTGCTCCCAACTGGAAGCACCAGCAGTCATTAGCACTTAAAGTAGAAAACACAGACTGGCCCACATATTATCCCACTAACTGGCAACTTTATTTGTCTGAAAGTCGCCAAATAACAACACGCAGTACACGCTGTACCTCTTACAAAAATATGTAATGGGTACTTTTTACTATTTAGAAAAACTATTATTATCATTATTAGATTGATTCAGAGAATACATTTTATGGCACATTATCAATAATGAGAATCTGTGTCTTATATTAAGTACATCAATTTGAGTATGTACTTTTATTTCTAGTGTAGATTTAGTTAAACTGCCTGTCATTCTTAGGAGTGGGCATTTTAAGTCATTTCCATATTCGAGCATAACCCCACAAAATCAGTTATCCTACTTTTCTGCGCTGCACAGACACTAAAGATTAGCCGACATGAAGAAAAAAAAGATATCCACTAACATTAAGATGTGGCAATAATTCAGTGATTTGGCTGGTTTACCTTTTCATCTGCTGCCACTTTGCTCTGTAGGCTATTGCTAAAAAGTTCATTTGGCACTTTGCAAATCAACCTTAAATTTCCCCACCCGTTTCTCATATTTTACACTTTTGTCGTTGTTGGTAGCTTGTACTCTAGCTTAACAAACGGCATCAGCTTGCTGAATTGTGGCGCTTGCTCACACTGCAAACATTAGCAAATGACGTAATAAGAGGTTGCTTCTTCCCGTCTTTGCTGTTCTCTCCTTGTGCTTAATCCACAAATAGTTCATCATCAAAGTGGTTGTTCTGTAATGTTTAATGTTACATCCATGTCCTTTGTACAATGCCTGTAACGTTTATTGTGTGTGAAAGTGTTGAATAACTGTTTAATCACAAAGACGTGTTAGCAGCTGTTAGCTTCTTTGTGCTGTTATACTGTTAAATGTACAATATGTACAATTACAAATACAATTCTATTGTTGGGGGTCTCTCACATCTAAACAATAACAAAAAATTATTATTATGTTTTCAGAATAATTCAATAGACACATGCCTACTTTAAAGTGTAATTGAAGCTGCAAGCAGCGTTGGGCGGG